ACAATGGAATAACGGGTACTCTCTAGTTCTCTGAACCGCTCTGTAGCATCAGGAATTGTTAATCACTCCGCTCAGAAGCCAGATGGCCGTAGTTTATTCCAGCTCCCCTGCTTACTAGCAAATGATGTGGGCAGGGCTATTCAGTCATCCTGGCTTTATTATCCTTATATGTGAAATGGGGGTGACAGTAGTGCTAATGCCCCTCTAAAAATATTCTAAAACCAGGCATCATGCCTGCCACACCAGAGATGTTTCAGAGTGCACCCTCTTCTATCACAAGTTATATTTATAGTCAGAAAAAAGAAGTGACATACAGAAACAATCTGATTGGCTGTGGTCACTATTTGCCATACATAGGCATGATGTAATAGGCTGGCAGCCAGTTACTGGTTGAAGCTTAACTACTGTTGATTGGCTGAGACTCAGGGCTTGGTTACAAGGGTATACTCTTAGGTTACATCCTGTTTTTATGCATCAAGCTAGGGTACAGTTCACTATGTATGGAGACTGCTTTGGACCACACTTTTTTCACCCAACTCCGAAGACAAGTTTAGTCCAATCCGACAATGTTAATAAGCAGCAATAAACTTGTACTCTTAGTACTAAACCTAGACTTCCACACCACTATTCTCTCAGTTTTCCTTACTCTTTGACCCTCCTTCATCCACCCTTTAAATATTCAAGGAATGGGTGTTGTGGTGTAATTGTTTCCTGGGATGTCCTGCATTACTTTTGGAGTGCTATTTTTTTTTTTTTTTTTTTGACAGGCAGAGTGGACAGTGAGAGAGAGAGAGAGAGAGAGAGAGAGAAAGGTCTTCCTTTGCCGTTGGTTCACCCTCCAATGGCCGCCGCGGCCGGCGCGCTGCGGCCGGCGCACCGCGCTGATCCGATGGCAGGAGCCAGGAGCCAGGTGCTTTTTCCTGGTCTCCCATGGGGTGCAGGGCCCAAGCACCTGGGCCATCCTCCACTGCACTCCCTGGCCACAGCAGAGAGCTGGCCTGGAAGAGGGGCAACCGGGACAGAATCCGGCGCCCCGACCGGGACTAGAACCCGGTGTGCCGGCGCCGCAAGGCGGCGGATTAGCCTAGTGAGCCGCGGCGCCGGCTTGGAGTGCTAATTTTGAGTCCTGGCTATTCCACTTCTGACCCAGCTTCCTGCTAATGTATACTGGAAAGCAGTAGACGATGGCTCAACTGCTTGGACTCCATGCTACCCACAAGGAAAACACAACTAGTTTCAGCTTGGCCCAACCCTGGCTGCTGCAGGCATTTGGGAAGTAAACCAGCAGACAGAAGATCTTTCTCTGTGGCTCTGCCTTTCCAGTAGATGAAAGAAATTAACATTAAACACACACACACACACACACACACACACACACACACACACACAGTTACTCCTCAAGATTCCATCCATGGTCCATTGCTTTCTCTTCCCACTTTGGTGGTTTGACACTGAATCAACAGTTCTGCTGGACTGTTCCAACACCGTCAATCAGGACCAAGTCAAAACTCTCTCCAGGCGTTCTCTGAAGTTTTTAGAATCACTCCCCTCAGCACATCTTTTCCCTTATAATAAATTTTGATTACAATTAATGAAATCATCATGTCCTTACATAACCTGTGGTCATACTAAATTTCTCATTCACTTTAAACTGCAATATCTCCTAATTTTTTCCAAACCTGCCTTTTCTGTACCCCTATTATGTTAGCTTAAGCTGCATGCTTCTGAATCCTATTTTTACCCTTCTCAATCTATTCTTCACTCTTTAGCCAGTAATTCAGATGGACTCTAAATTCTAAAATGCCAAATTTTTCATTCATATACTACTGTACATAAAATAGATCCAAGCTATGTGGGGCCCTCTGTTACCTAGCCCTTGCAAATCTTTCCAGCTTCTACCAATTTCCACCTCAAATGATCAACAGTGGAAAAAAAACTATGCTATCCTTGTACCCTGGCATCACTGTTTATTTATATTACAATTATCTATGTTTCTGGCTCTGTCACTTGACATTTCTCAAGGTGGAGAATTTCCTAACTTATCTCTGCACCTCAGTGCAGCATAACCTGGGATATAACAGGCACTCAGAGATTTTACAGAACTGAACTGGAAGGATTTTTTCTTTCTGAAGAAATTATAACTCAAGTTAACAAACATAATCATTTCAAGAGATCACTGTTTCCCTACCCAAATTCCTAGGGAACATGTTAACATTTCCATTTCTATCCAACACCTCATTTACATTTACTGAGCAAGAAATGACTTACTGTGGAATTTCTCACATCAACAGTTATGTTTAATGCAACTTCTTTACCACTCACTCATTTGCAGGTCTCTAAAACTATGCAAGGTGAAAAGTAAATTCAAACACTGACATGCATCCATGCTTCAGTGTTCTGAACTCCTGGAATACATTAATGTGCACAAATTCAGAAATGTAGCACTGAACAACAAAAACAACAAAAAACATACTTTGTTTTATCATAGTCATGCCAGCAAAGAATAAGAGAAACAAGAAAAGCAGGAAAAGAGAAGTCTTAATATAATGGTAGATTCTCTGTGATGCATGTATTTTGTATTTATATAGACCCAATGGCATTATTAAAAAATAAATGAACCTAATACAATATTATTTAAAGGGAGAAGGATGGTCAAATAATATACACACTTTTAAAATCTATTTTCAAAAGTCTGTAACACTGACAGACAAAGTATCCAGAAAAGTAGAATGAGCACAACCTGAAAAAATTTAAGTATAGTAATATAGGTGATTTGGGCCCAGGGACATCAAGTAAGTATATATAGAAATGATTTCAAACTTTATTCTATGTCTAGCACAGCTGGACACTAGCTTAGTGTAGAATTAGGGCAAGGAATAAAAATGAGAAGAAGTATTTCTTTAATAAACTTCATATAGAACACGGACATTCTGTTCTAGGTCCTAGTAGCAGGAGGAAAGAAAGCTTTCATGAAAGATCTTATCTGTTTAAGAGACAGTATTTTCAGATTTCATGTCAAAAATTTCCCTCTTGAAGTTTTCTTTAAGAAATTCCCATATCCCCTTCTACAGTAAGTCATTATTTACTCCAAGTTAAGGTTATGAATGTAAGATCAAAAGATGTGCTACAAAACCCAAGAACTTAGCCGGCGCCGTGGCTCAATAGGCTAATCCTCCACCTTGCGGCGCCAGCACACCGGGGCGCCGGATTCTGTCCCGGTTGCCCCTCTTCCAGGCCAGCTCTCTGCTATGGCCAGGGAGTGCAGTGGAGGATGGCCCAGGTGCTTGGGCCCTGCACCTCATGGGAGACCAGGAAAAGCACCTGGCTCCTGGCTCCTGCCATCGGATCAGCGCGGTGCGCCGGCTGCAGCGGCGGCCATTGGAGGGTGAACCAACGGCAAAAGAAGACCTTTCTCTCTCTGTCTCTCTCTCTCACTGTCCACTCTGCCTGTCAAAAAAAACAAAAAACAAAAAAAAACAAAAAAAAACAAAAAAACACCAAGAACTTTAATATAATTAAACTGACTGGTGGCTTGAAGTATCCTACTTTCAAAGAATTTCACCTAAAGAGAAACTCTAGCCTTTTATAGTTTCATCATGGAGGGGAAAATATTTAATGTGAAGCAGAAAATGAGGAAGCAAATTTTACAGCCTATCAAGGGGAAATATATCATTTGCTTTCTTACATGCTGATACCTTAAAAAGCAACTTATTAGTGGTAAAAATAAATTAAAACTGTTTTAGTCAAAAGAATGAAATGTGTTTGGTAGGTCTATTGTGAGTCAGAGACTACTAAACAAATTAAAGTAAGTGATAACTTAATTAAAGGTGAACAAGTTCTCACATTTCTCATTTTAAGATATGAAACCTTAACTCAAAAGGCTTCCATAGCCTTGGCAACTCATGACAAGAGCCTAGGGTGATTACTGATGCCATAAACAAGAGTGTCAATTTGTTAAGTCAACAACAGGAGTCACTGTGCACTTACTCCTCATGTAGGATCTCTGTCCTTAATGTGCTGTACATTGTGATTTAATGCTATAACTAGTACTCAAACAGTATTTTTTACTGTGTGTTTCTATGTGGGTGCAAACTGTTGAAATCTTTACTTAATATATGCTAAACTGATCTTCTGTATATAAAGAGAATTGAAAATGAATCTTGATGTGAATGGAAGTGGGGAGGGAGAGGGAAAGGGGAGGGTTGCGGGTGGGAAGGACGTTATGGGGGGGGGAAGCCATTGTAATCCATAAGCTGTACTTTGGAAATTTATATTCATTAAATAAAAGTAAAAAAAAAGATAATATGAAAAAAAAAGATATGAAACCTTGAGAATTATATCTCTAATAAGAAACTCCTACTTACATGTATACTAAACATAATTATTTAATAGCCTAAAGAGACTAACAGTGTATAAGACAGAACGTGAAGCCTTAATGAACTTTAATAAAACATTGGAACATTTTAGAATGGTAAATGTCGGTGAAAAACAAACAGGTGAAAGATCTAAGTAGTCTTTCAATGTAGGTGTTAGTTATCAGAAGAAAAGTCTTAATCTCAATAGCAAGTAGACTGTTTTTAATATTAAAACACAATTTGACTGTTTACTTCAAAAAAGCCCAATTTAGCAGGAGAATAAGAAATAATTTCTTTTTAACAAGCAAGTATTTTCAATTCACTTTCCTTCTGTGAAGTATGGAGAAAGAAAACAAAACCTTGAAAGATTAGGGAAAAAAAACTTATCTTTGCCTAATATGTGGTGCAACAGCTACACCCAGTGGTGAGAGATGAGTAGCCCAGTTTTTCAGCTATAATTTATGAAGTAAATTTGGAAACGGCCACTTTTTAATTTATTTAAGGTTTTAGGAAAAGGGTTACATTCCACTATAAATTTCAGGAAATGCTCAAAATCTTTGGGAACCCTAGGCTTTAAGCTTGACAGAAGTATCCAGAATAGTTTATTTTGAAGAAGTAGCTAAAATAAAACTCAAACCAAAGAGAGAACTTACAGATACTTTATTGCTCACCTTTCACACACAGCACACCTCCAGCCATTTTCTTTCACAGCTTGACAATGTTTACGTACACAAAAACCCAGCAAGAAGCATCATGTCACGGAGATGTCAGTAAGAGAGAATGTAAAACATCAACTCAGCCAGGCTTTTGTTTTCTGCAGCAATAATAAAGGGCCTCCTGCACTAAGCAAAAATGTTTTACTTCGTAGTGCATTTCTTCCATTACAAAAAAAGTCTCCTGCCTAGAGCAAACTAACTTGTATTTGCTGAGCCAGTGGTATTAACTCGTGCATAAAACAAATTTCGGTTTGCTGTTTCTAGCAGATTTCAAGTACAAATAAGGTTGAAGGAGGGACTTGTTTTGGATGGATGCAGGTCAGTTTGAATTGATTTACTCAACTAAATGCCTACCTGTACTATAGGTTCACAACTTAGGTTTGCTTTTATAATCTTTATGAATTTTGGCCGTGTTCAAGGTTTTCAGAGTTGAGCATATGGTACAGTATTCCAACAGAATAAGGCTACTCAATGTGCTATCTGGAGAAGAGCTCATTTAATAGGAACGGACTGAAAGTTCTATGGTGAAGCAGATGTGGCACAACGTTTCTGAATAAAAAGCCAATCAGGGGCAGAACTGTGTTTGGGAAACAAGCATTACAGTACTTTACATAAAACACACAGAAATGGATTGTTAATGAGGAAGGTAACCTTGTGGTAAAGCTTGAAAAAAGTCTAGGTGAATCCTCATTTTCAAAATTGTGTAATGAAAATTACTTGTTCAAGTAATTTCTTCAAAAAAGTATGCAAGTTCTAACTCTGAAATTAGTATACTGGTCAATCAAAGGCAGGTTTAATTACCTTCTTAAATTCTTTTTTTTTTTTAAAGGAGAGATGTCATACGTGTTTGTCAAATAGCATTAGGTAAGTCTATTAAAAAAAAACCATAAAAACAAAACAGAACGAAGACTCACAAATGCTCATGCCAAGCAGGAATCTGCCCGCCACCTATAATCTTTCATTAATTCCAAATAGATGCTGGATTCAGGATTCTGAAACTAAGTTTCTATTACTTGAGCTCTAGCAAAATGTAAGGTTCTGTAGCCTCAACTAGTGTAATGTCTTCCCTGTCCAAATCCAGAATGATTATACTGATAACCTCCATGCTGGAAGTGCTGCTCAAACTGACCCCCTTGGTGATAAGTCTGACTACCCCTTCCTCCCCAACCTCCTCCCTGGCCTCCACGACCACCTCTCCCTCCACGACCACCTCTCCCTCCACGACCACCACCTCGATCACCATGGTGCCCACCATCTTGGTACCTATTGTCCTGTTGGTATCCACCACCCTGGTATCCACTTCCTGTATATGAAGACGTTTGGAAGCCACCATAACCACCACCTTGATAGCCACCGCTGTGGCCACCATGATAGCCACCCGGCTGGAAACCTGAATCTCGATAACTACCATCTTGGTAGCTACCTCCTCCTCCACTCCCTCCATCTGTCCAGCCTCCTTGATGCTTATTTCCTCTTCCTCCCCCTCGACCACTGTGGTCATAGCCACCACGTCCACCTCGCCCTCCTCCTTGTTCATGACCTCCTCGTCCTCCGTATGAAGAATGTTCATAACCACCTCTCCCGCCTCCTCGGCCTCCTGCTTGCTGCTGGGGGCCATCTTGCCTTTTCTGCCACGGTGGCATCTCTGGGGGTGGAGGCTCAATTTCATTGGGTCTACCTCCTCTGTCTGGCACCCTGCCCATCAACACCTATGGGATAAGAAAGATATTTTAAGCTACTTTGTTCTATACACAGAAAAAAATGTATCAGAAAGAAAATCAAAAGTACTCTAATCACCTTATTGATGGCACAGGCAGTCTTTTCTCTAATAGAGCCACTGCTTGTCCTTAAAATCTTTGACAAATCTTGTCTTGCAGCCAAAAGATGTGCAACAGAAATTGTACTTTTAGGCGATAAGACTGAACGTTTCGGCTGGTAAACCTTGGCTAGTTTTTCTGTCTGACTCTGTTGAAAGAAAAGTGTTCAAAGACAAAGGTCAATTTTCAAAATGACACAAGGAATACACTTGTGTTAAAGCCAGTTCAATAATGTTGCTTTTGTAGAATTATGTTTTACATTATGTTTTCATTTATTTGAGAGGGAGAGGGAGAAGGGGAGGGAGAGGGAGAGAGAGAAAAAACAAGAGAATTCCCATCAAATGCTTTCCTGAAATGCTCACAATGGCCCCAGAGCTGAGCCGCAGCCAGAGCCAGAAGCACAGAAAGAAATCCAGGTCTCCCATGTGGATAGTGTGGATCCAACTACTGTTGCCTACTATGGTCTGCTTTGGCAAGAAGCTGGAGTCAGGAGCCAGAGCTGGGAATCAAACCCAGGTTCTCCAATATGGATGTGGGCACCTTCTGCTAGGCTAAATATCTGCCCCAATAATTTTGCTTTTTAATTTTCCCATCTTTCGTTTCTATTAGGTAGAAAATATCTACTAAAATATCCAAGACTTTTACCAGGATTATCTCATGTAAGCTTAAATAAAATTTAAGTTTCACCAGATTCTCCAATTCTATATAAACAGACCATAATATCTGGGCCAAGTGCTGTGCAACAGTGGGTTAAGCCGCCATCTCCAGTGCTAGCATCCCATATGGGCGCCGGTTTGAGTCCTGGCTATTCCGTTTCCAATCTAGCTTCCTGCTAATGTGCCACAGAAAGAAGCAGAGGATGGCCCAAGTCCTTGAGCCACTGTAACCATGTGGGAGACCCGGAAGAAGCTCCTGGATCTTGGCTTCTTCCTGGCCTAGCCTTGGCTGTTGCAGCCATTTTGGGAGTGAACCAGAGGATGGAAAATCTCTCTCCTCTCTCTCTCTCTTTGTAACTCTAACTTTCAAATAGGTAAATAAATCTTAAAAAATAAAATTGGGGCCATATTTGGTCCACTGTAAACTCAAACTATTTCTAACTTAAATTAGCAAATTAGCTAGCTAGCTTAAAGTACATAATTTGAAGACAAATTATTATTTTGGTAATTTTCAGATTAGTAACTTTCTCTTTTATCTCCCAGAAAGGATTATAAGAGTCATTTTTGTTGAAAAGTAATTCAAAATTGAAATATTTTCATTATTTCCAAACAGCTGAAAGAATTACTAGCTGGCAATTCACTAAGAAAAAATTCCTGTGTGTTTCCTATGTACTTCTCTTGTAGTTTCCACTGTATCTAAACTGTTTAGATGTTTAGGGAGCATGTCTATAAATCCCCTGTTCTTTTTTTTTTTTTTAAAGATTTATTTATTTGAAAGTCAGAGTTACACAGAGAAGGAGAGGCAGAGAGAGAGAGAGAGAGGTAGGTCTTCTATCCACTGGTTCACTCCCCAATTGGCTGCAATAGCTGGAGTTGCGCCAATCCAAAGTCAGGAGCCAAGAACTTCTTCGGGTCTCCCATGCAGGGGCAGGGGCCCAGGGACTTGGGCCATCTTCTGCTGCTTTCCCAGGCCATAGCAGAGAGCTGGATTGGAAGTGAAGCAGTCGGACTTGAACCTGCACCCATATGGGATGTCAGCACTGCATGCTGGGGCTTTAACCTGCCGCACACGGCGCCAGCACTCCTGTTCTTTTAAATTATTTAATGTGTACCTTAGCTCTGTCAGACCAGCCAAAGGACTGCACAGTGACATCCAAACGTTTTATCAGCAGCTTTCTCCGGACTTCATATTCATTGGCTATGGCTTGGTTAATTGCTTCTATTTTTTCCTGAAGAAAAATTCAAAAGATCAGTTAGCTTTTAAATCTGTTTGATCTTTTGTTCTGAAGGAGCAGAAATTGCATCTGTTTCTTTTGTAATGGCAGCTCCAGCACTTAACACACGTAGTTCCTTCCACATAATACATCAAGAGTCAATGAAATGATAGGCAAAAAATACTGTCTCTAAGAATATGCAAAGTATAAAGTCCCTTGTTATAAATAATTCGATTTCCCATGATGCATCGTGTGAAGCTCAGCCCAATAAAGTTTCTGGCTTGAAAGCAATCCATTTGGCAATGAGAAACATGTATCACATGGAACTTTGCTTTATTTAATCAGCTGTGTAAAGTATTTACAAATTATGAGAAAACTGCTTCTAACTTTATGCAAATAAAATTATTTTGCATAAAAATGATTCTAAGGATATACACTAAGGAAATGACATTATCAGAAAACGCATTTTTAAAAAGTACAAGATATAAAGTGTTGACATAATGATGAAGAAATGGATGGATGGCTCCTCACAAAGTTAACTCACGATGGTTGCTACTCACCCAGTGGGCTGGTCCCATTGGTTTCTTCAGTAAAGGCTTTCCCACGTGATTAGGTGGAACTTTTGCTAATGTTTCCTTTAACTGACACAAAGACATAAATAGGTGAATAAAAAATAAAAAGTAAAAATATATTCTCCTCATCTTCCTAATTCCCATCACATCTTGCCATCAAAAGAAGATTCCTGACAGAGGCAAAGGTGGACGATGTTTTGAAATGCAAATGTAATGGACAAGACCCACAAGATAAACACACTCACTTGTCCCACTCCTCACGTGCCTATAAGGAGCATGAGTCCTTCACTGCACCTAGGACAGTGCCTGACAACAGCAGGCACTCAATGAGCATTTGCTGTACAGATGAATGAACACACAGGAAAATAAAGACTATGGATACACTGCTGCTCCCCTGTAGAGCTCAGCCAAATGTGGGCATCATGCCATCTATCTACCCCACAATACAAATGTACCAATTCTTAGAAACCAGATGATACGCATATAGGGAGTAACTCTGTTATACCATTCTCTCCTGCATATTAATTGTTTGTTACAATGGCTTGATCCTAATCAATTATATAATATTAACTGTGTGGTATAAAAATATAACGCTAATTTATTTTCAGGTAGCAGATTATGTTAGCGCCAACAAAGCTATTTTGCCAGTTGAAACATATGAGACCCAAAGCGACTGGATTAAGAAACAAAAATGTTAACATTCTTTTCTGTCCAGTCAATGGCCGGTAACATTTAATGATAAATAACTGCATCCAAGCTCAATGATAAAATACATTTTAAAAAGGACTTGAATCTTAATTCTTTTTGCATTGTATCTAGCTTACTTCAGCTTAGAAACCAAAGTGTAAAGCTTCCTCTTGAAAAAGAAACATGTTAATATGCTTTAATAAAATTAAAATACTAATTTCTCTTTAAGGCATCTAGGATTTAAAACCCCAAACTCATTTTGTAACAATTACTTAATAATATGCACATTAGATTCCCATTAAGAGAAATTAACTTAATGTTTCATTTCAAACAAATGTAGGACTATGCCTTTAATACACTACAATCTGGTACTAAAGGTCTTACTTTTTTTTCAATCCCGCTGAAGAATTGGAACATAGTTATATTGGCTGGAGGTTTGGACATTCCTAGAGCAATACATATGCCTTTCAACTCTTGAAAGACCTCACTACCGCCTCCTTCTTGAGCTTTTTTTGGAGGAGCATTCACACAGAGCATTCTGGCAGCTTCTAGTTCTGAGATGAGGTATGCTGAAGTAAACAAAATAAGATTTCAAAATGAGATACAGCTATAGTTAATAGTCATAAGTCTGGAGTCACAACTCTATAGACCTAATGATATGTAACTTTTAAAGCTGCAAGAATGGATAAAACCAAGAAAGGAAAACCATTTTTACCTGCAAATGACATAACACACAAACTGGTTAGTAATTCAGGTGTTTAACCAATATATAATGTTTAAAGGTCAATTTAAAAATAAGCCATTTAAGGATGATCACACCTAAAAATTTGGATCCTAGCATTACACTATTAAGGAACCTCCAGAACAGGGGTTGGCATCTGTTAACAAATTTGCAAGAGATGGCAGGTTACCAATTTTTAGTGATAGATAAAAAAATTTTTTTAATCTTCTCACCACTTATGAGTGCCAGTGATACAACTACCTTGCTCTCTTGTCTCCCAATAATTAGGAAACCTGTATAGAATTGTTGTGAAATAACCTTTTTTGGGGGGGCGGAAGTCAAAGTTTAATTACTGGAGAAATGGAAAAGCACTAAACTCCCCAAAGTCCATTTTCCATAATCCCCAGAATCCTTTAACAACCCTGTGCAAATTCAAAGAAGGCCGCTTCCATCTGTATTCATCTCAGGGCTCCCTTTCCCTCACCCCACTCCCCTCTAAACAACAAGACCTTCCAATCAAAATTTTTGCGGAGTCTCCCTAGTGTATCATCCCCTTGTGTGTTGGTTTCAGCTGGGTATAATGAGGACTGCAATCTGCTTCAGGTATTTCAGTTGCAGGCATAAATATTCAATCCCATCCCTTCAACCTTCCTGAGGACATTTCAATTTTTAAGATTAATACTCATTTGAATCTCAGGATTTCAGGTTATGTGACAAAGCGAGGTCCTCCTACCAATGTGAAGAAGGTATTTTTTGGGGAAAAAACAAAATATTTTCTAGGCTCTTAAGTCCTATTAAAAACACAACAGAATGATCAGCTTGAACATGTCATTTACTACATCCAAGGCGTAATGCTAGAAGCATAGGGCCATAATTTTGGCAAACACTTTCTGAAAAGCTGCCAACTCCTATCCTAAAAAATAAACACAGCTAAGTTTCTGCAAAGGTCACTCTAAATGGGTTTGATAAAAATCATAATGTATTCCACATAGCAAACTGTACTTAAAGAGTTAAAACTTTTAAAAACAAGGTTTCACTAGAACACTGCCATAACTCATCCATTTATACACTGTCTCTGGCTGCTTTCATGCTATGCCACCAGGGCTGAGAACATGTGAGAGCTAAGATCCACAAGATCAAAGGTATTTACTATCTGGCCCTTTAAGAAGACATTTGCCAACCCTTGTTCTAGAAAATCTTATTTTATGGTTTAATAAATTGCTTCTCTAAATTCAGGACAACACAATTCAAGCATTCACAAAGTCAGTTCACCAATATAATTACCATGAAAAACTTTCTAACTGGAATTGATGTATTCAAAAAGCCACTGGAGAAATAGTAAAAAACAAACAAAAGGATTATTGCTATTGATAATCTAGTTGGGAATAAAGGATATATGTAAAAACAAATACAGATGAATAGTTTACATATCAGGAACTCAGATATTTGACTTAACTTACCTAAGGGAAATAATCTGAGAATCCTAACAGGCCAATGAATAGCCAAAGGGGTCCTTAAACTGATATGAGTTTTTCTGTCACTTACTCAAAGACTATTCTAAATACTATTCTAACAGCTGTAATGAGTTTGACTTGTTTTTTCCTTCCCAAATACAATGTGATGATAAAAGATTCAAATAAGTGAGAAAAGAATGCTAGAAAGAAGTAAAATTACAGCATTTAAAATGTTACAACTGATACTTGAACAGATGAGAAATATTTACACAGAGCATGTAGAAATGAGCAAACGTACATAAATACTAAAACAAAACGGAGGTTCCAGACTACGGGGAATATCTGTGAAAGGGGAAACAGCAGAAGCAAAGAGAGAGAATAGGGAAACAGTGTGTATGGATGCATGTATGACGAATTTTAAAAGTGAGTAACCTTTAGTTGATTTAGTCATTTAGTTGAGAAGCAAACAGTTGTATATTCTTGAAAAGCTTTTGAGGTGATAGCACATTAACATACAGTCTATAATTATGACCCTGAGTCCAAATAAGGGTCACTGCAGTCTGCTTGAAGAAACAGGAAAGAGTTAAAACCATTTCATAAATATTTACATTCAAAGTGGTTTTCATGAGCATCAGTGCTAAATAGGGTAACCTCTGAGTTTTTTGGAAGAATTAGCTACTCAGGGTCATTACTAAGCATCCCACATACCTGTTATTTTCCTAGATAGAGAACACATTCTAATTGCCAAATGTTATTGGTTATGGATAAACAACGCTAGAAAGGAAGAATTAATTGAGTACACTGTTGTTGAACCAGTTATAGAAATTATACGATTTAAAAGATACTGTATGAATGTATAAATTATATGCAGCAACATCAATATATAAAGCAATATTTAACTTTAGGTTTATTTAAAGTATTTTGCTCACAATATCAATCATGTGATAAAGGGGAAGAAAATGATTTTGTCATAACTTAGTGCCTAACCATAATGGCTATGAACACATCTTTTTTAAAAACATAAACTTCAAAGCCAGAGTTGTGTTATTTTAGAAACTACAGTACAGCTGTAAAGACAAAACATTACAAAAATTCTCTGAATTGTGCTTGTCTCAAAGAAAACTATTAATCAAAGGTTAATCTAACTGCTTTTCAGAACACAACAAAAATTCTGAGTTAAGACTATGGGGCCCTCTGGTCCCCCCTGCCATTACTGGAAGCCAGGTGACCACTTGGCCCAACCATAGGTGTCAGCTCCACCCCCATCCTAATGGGATCCGCTGCTCCTACTTCCCTGCTGGCCCTTGGCAAAGGTTTAAGAGGACCTGCTCCAGAACACATGCTCTCTTGATCTCTCTCTTACACTATCCTCCTCTCTCTTACCCTCTCACCCTCTCTCCCCTGGCCTGTCGGGCTTCCCCCACCTGACAACAAACCTTTCTTCTTAAAAAAAAAAAAAAAAAAAAGATTATAGGACTGGCGCTGTAGCAGCGGGTAAAGCTGCCGCCTGCAGTGCCAGCATCCCACATGGGTGCTGGTTTGAGTCCAGGCTGCTCAACTTCCGATCCAACTCCCTACTATTGGCCTGGGAAAGCAGTGGAAGATGGCCCAAGTCCTTGGGTCCCTGTACCTGCGTGGGAGACCCAGAAGAAGCTCCTGGCTCTTGGCTTCGGATCGGCACAGCTCTGGCCATTGTGGCTATCTGGGGAGTAAACTAGCGGATGGAAGACTTCTCTCTCTCTCTCTCTCTCTCTCTCTCTCTCTCTCTCTTTGCCTCTGCTCTCTGTAACTCTGCCTTTCAAATAAATAAATAAATCTTTAAAAAGTACAGGAATGGTTCAAGTATTATTACAGAATATTTAAAAATAAAGTCAAAGCCCCAAACCATGAAGAAATATTAAGACAAAATACTTTAAATAATTAACATTAACTGTTATCTAATGAATGCTTATGCTACTCAAAGCAATTAATTTCTAAAAAAAACCCCAGTTTATTTTCCATATTTCCATACTTTCTTCCCAGTCTATTTTAAAATGTGCTTCTAGTGTAGAATACAAAAGTTAAATGATCATACATCTGAACAGCCCTCCAGCACTACCACTGATTATAGCAAATGAAGCATAATGGCCAGAGAACCATCAAAGTTGAAATGGTGAGAGCATCAGTTATAAACTCAACAGTGCCACCAGTGCAGATGCCTACAATCAGCTCCTACATTGGAAATTTAACAAGCTATTGTTTAAAATAAATAAAATTTTGAATTAAATCCATAATGAAGAAACAACAACAAAAACTCAAGAACCGGTTTATTAGTAATGGAAAACATAAACAGAAAATAACAGCTACATTCTTGTAGCCATGAACTTACTGAGCAAAAGGAGGCAGTTCTTCTGCACGAGAAGGCGCTTGGTCACATCCCCAGATGTCAGTGAGAGATATGGGCAGTTCATCTCCCCAAGTAGCCCACTCACCTCAAGCTGGAATTCTTCAGCTTCACTTGGACCTTGTAAGAATTAAAATAATGTTATTTATAATACTGATCTGTTTTTTTCCATGGTCATAATAATTATTACATATAAACTGAAATTTTTAATAAGTTTTCCCTAGTTGAGCTCCTTTTCCTTTTTCATATCATTGCATATTTTTTTAAGGTTTATTTATTTGAAAGGCTCAGGAACAGAGGGAGGAGAGGGAGAGGGAAAAGGACAGCGAAAGTGAAGAGTGAGATCTTGCATCTGCTGGTTCACACCCCAAATGGCCAGAACAGCCAGGACAGAGTCAGGCTGAAGCTAAGAGCCAGGAACTCTATCTGGTCCCCCGTGTGGGTGGCAAGGCCCTAAGTATCTGGATCACCTTCTGCTGCCTTCCCAGGTGCATTAGTGGGAAGCCGGAACAGAGGCGGTATAGCTGTGACTTGAACCGGCACTCTCTATGGGATGCTGATATGGCAAGTGGTAGCTTAACCTACAGTGCCACAACATAGGTTGCACATTTTGTTTCTTAAACAGTGTTCAATAGTTTATTCTCTAGAGAATCATTAATGGCTCCCTAATCTCTATATCATTGACTTTTTTCTATCTTTAAAAGATTCTCATGGCTGCTCCTGTTGATCATTCCTCACACATCCAGTTGTAGCTACTTACCTACCAGCTCCAGATAATCTATTTGTGCCAAGCCAGGCTCCTCATTGTCCTAAGAACAGCCAGTCTCATTTCCACTTTCATGTTTTACTTAAGTTATTCCCTGTGATTGATGTGCCCTCTACTCTCTTCTCTGGCAAATTCTATCCACACATCAAAGCCCAATGGTCTTGCTCCTCAATGAAACTTTCCCTAAGTACTTTTGCATTCATTAATGTCATTCCCCTGTGAACTATAAAAAAAAAAAGCATTTAATTGCTTTATCTCCAGTGATTTCATTTGTGGCTAATATTACCCATTAGACCAAATTCAAAGATAGTAAAGATGACTTACAGTTCTGTATTGCTGTAACATGCAATATAGAATTCACTGGGTGAACCATGGAAAACACAAAGCTCTTTCTTCCTTTCTAATCTGACTGTTCTCTATTCAGTATCATACAGGGATATAAATGAACAGCTTTGAGAGGCATCTGACCTAAGCCCTTCTTCTCACTTGTGAAATAAAGACTACTGGGGCTTGTGTTGTGGAGCAGCAGGTTAAGCTGCTGCCCGAGGCACTGGCATCCCATATGGAAGTGCTGGTTTGAGTCCCAGCTGCTCTGCTTCGGATTCAGCTCCCTGCTAATGCACCTTTGAAAGCAGCAGAAGATCCAAGTATGTGGGAGCCTGCCACCCACATGGGAAATGGAGATGGAGTTCCTGGCTCCTGGCTTTGGCCTGCAGCGGCGCCAGCCATTTGGGAAGTTAACCGGAGGATGGAAGATCTCTATCATTCTAACTTTCAAATAAATGAATCTATTAAAAAAAAATCCAAAGAATCATCAATCTTTGCAAACTGATATCTGTGAACCCTGGAGTTCCACAGAGCTCCTTCAGAGGCAGGTTGGACAGACAAGGAGAGGTGTGTAAAAGGTGTATTCTCTCTCTACACGTTTTATGCTTTATATGTTGGCTTCTACATAACATTTCATTTGCGCAAAGTGGCTCCAGGTTAAAAATAGTTATCATCTAGTGTAGGTGTTTTCAAAGGTTCCTAGAAGCTTTGAAATGTTACAACAGGAGGCAGTCCAGCAACCAAGGGCATGAACAATGGTTCCAAAACTTAACCTCTGGGGTTGAATCCAGTTCTAGCTCTAACTACTACAGGTTGTGTGACCCTAGACAAATGTATTTAACTTCTTTGGGGATTTCTTGTTTAATATATAAGAGTAATAAAACCTGCCTCACAGGGCTGTCCAGAAGTTTATAAATGGACTGACATAAGTAAAGTGCTTAGAAGGCAGTAAGTTCTCAATAAATATAAGCCGCTGCTTTCACTATTCTTATACCATATGCTCCTTAATAATTAGAACTGAAGGCAACTAACATAGACACACTGAATATTCTAATATATAAGGCAGTGAGCTCTTCAAAATCTGATTATGTGGGACAAGGGGATTATGTATCCAGTTCTCGTAAAGGATGGGTTAACAGGTGGACATTTTTCTTTGTCTCCTATTATGGGTTTTACCTATGGCAAGGAGAACCAGCTGGTGGAGTATCAGGTTCCAAGCTTTCATTTCTTTTGCGGAGTTGTCAAACTATGGCTAAAGCCATAACAAAATTGGCAAATATGAAATAGCTCTCAGCCCCATAAATGTGATCATGCTGGATCTGGTTGTGATCTGTCTAATGATACGGTCCTTTGATAAAGAAAGCTTCTTTCTTCCCACATATAACAGAATTAAAATGTGTTTAACTTACATGCTATAGGGTGGTACAATCTGTTAGACCTAAAAGAAATACATTCTAATTTCCACTTTTAGTCACCAGTCTAGGATCTCACAATTCAGTTTACAAAACATAGAAAGTTTGTACATTCTATACTTATAATCTTCATTTTTCTGTATCTCTTTTTAGTCTCCACAAGTTTCTAATAGTTATATGACTATATTCTGGTCTTTAACTTCTGGATCACTTTATCTCTAAAAACAATAGATGAGAGAAAAGTATTGTGACTCTTCTACAAAATTTTTCTTTACATTTACAAAAACCCTGAAATTTCAGCATTAGTACTAATAACTAGACAATATCATGATCTTATTTTTACATTTTGCACCTTCAAGTGAATGTTTACTTACTGTTAGTTGCTTGTACATTTTCCTCCAGTTTACAGAGCACTCGTAATTCAGACACCAGCCAAGCACAGAGTTTGGTAAACTCAGGGGAACTGGCTCCAGCAGAGACTGCCTGAGACAGAGCGCCATCATCCAACAAGGGGCCCTTGTAACTGGTGAGTAAGAAGTTATACTTCAGAATATAAAGTCATACCTAATATATTACAGATAAAAATACATGTATGTATTCTTAATGCAATTAAGCAATATTTCAATACAGATAAGTTATGATGACCAATGTATACATTTGCACATGTAAAAACTTATACTGAACCATTCAAACTTACACTGAACCATTCAAAAAATACACAAAGATAAATGACAACTGCATTTCTACCTTCAAAATATATGTGAATATTGGACAGAATCACATACACTACCAAATTATACCAACTTTTCTGCATTCACTTTATTGTACAATAAAGTAACTGAATTGAGTATTAACACTACATTAATAAATGATAGCTATTATATATCTTACCATTTTAGAAATAGAACTTAGGTTATCTTTTGTAGAAAAATTTTTGCAGAAATAAAGTAGGTTAGGTTTTTAATGACTTCCTTTAAACATCTTTCCAATTAATCATTAATTTTTCTATATTTAGTGTTAAGAGAAGACATAATCATACCATTGACATGTCAAGATTAATTGAATAATTGTTGGCCACCTGATGAACTGTGCATCTGAATCCTAATTCTCTGTGATTCCAATGTACTTTTAAAACATCAAACATTCATGGCAGTAATAATGAACTCCAATCACCTACGTTAAGATCCTATCAATCCTATTAAAGAGCAGTGTTTTTTTCTTCATACTATTTGGTGAACTCTTAGTGTAGGGTTAATCTCATGAGTATAAAGTAAACCGAAAATAGATCTTTGTAAAAATTAAGAGTGGGAATAGGAGAGGGAGGAGGAACAGTGGTGTGAGCACGGGTGGAGGAAGGGTAGGGTGGTATCACTATGTTCCTGCATCTGTCTATAGGAAATACATGAAATTTGTATACCTTAAGTAAAAATTAAAAAACAAAGATTCTATCACTCAAAATAACTTTAATACACACAAGGGTACTTCTCTAAAAGATAGGTTTATTTTACTGCAAATATTTTTTGAAATCATGCATTTTCCATGAGCTTTTTGTATACTGGTCAGATTTTACATTCTTTTGTAAGAAATACTGTTAAGAAAGTTACAAAAGAGACCCTCCTTGGTGCTCCTCACAGCATATTATTTTCATAGTATTCTGTGAACCTCTCTTTCACCTCACCCTGTACCCTTAAGCACCCAGTGCGACACAGGCAGAAGGGGAAGGGTTCGTCACAAATGTCTTCTGAATGACTGGTTACAGGTGAGGGAGCAACTCAGTTTGAGATGTCCACATACAAGGACTATTTTCCTCACATCCAAAGTCCAGTATATTCCGGAAAGCTTAAGTTTCATGGAAGGGAACAATGGTAACCCATTTTGACAAATAAGGATGATTAATAGGTCCATTTCCTTTCCTAAAAACTTCTACCAGGACAGCAAGAAATTTAAATTAGAAGGCTTTGGGAACGCTCAGTTTCCTTTCCTAAAAAGGGTTTCTATAAAAGGGCTGCACATCATTGGAAAGCCTAAGGCAAAGTTTTGACAAAAGAGCTCTTACTTATAACACAACTAGCTAAACCAGTACTTTTTTTTTTTTACACCAAACTTATAGGCAAATAGTTAATCATACAATTTGTGCCTAGAACCTCATTTAGCCCAAGAGGTTCTAAGTTCTCAAATTTAATACAGTACATTTGATCCGGGTGACCCAGTGAGATAAGCCCTATTTCCAACTTCTAGATATTAATGAATTATGGTTGGGTAACTGTCAGATGCAGTTTTACATGTTTTTTTTTTGCATGTTTGCAAAACAAACATGTTGATTCTTAGTGGGTAAAGATGAAGTGGCTAATGGTGCTCCACGGAGACAGGGTGTCAGAAAATCACTAGGAGCTGCCAGTGGATCCCAGCGAGGTGGTGCCAGGTTAGGTGCCCAAGTAAGCAGGCTAGCGGAACGGATGCAGCGTCCAGACATGTGGCTTGGGCAAGCCTGGCTGCACGCAGAGATGACTGAGCAAAGGAGAATTTTTGAAAGAAGCAGGGTGGGGGAGCACGGGCAGAACAGGAAATTTGGAGGACGAGCATGAAGACAGAGAATCTACTCTTGAGAGGAGCGGGTACAGCAGGAGGATAAGGAGCAAGAGAAGAAACTCGGGGAGTGGGGGTGGCGAGACCGAGCCCAGACAATGACACGCATGACTGACAAATGCCGCGGGGTAACTCGACTGCAGGGAGCACAGGGCAGGCCTAGGGGCGTTGGTGCTGCGGGGCCCCGAGCCATCAGGACAGAAGTGGACGCGGCGCTGGGGTACTGGGGCTATTGGAAAGCCACAGCTAGAGCCACCGGGTGCGGCGTGGAGAGGCAGGTGTCTCACTGGGGCGCAGGGGTGTTCCCCGGGGACCGACAGTGTGAGGCTCGGGGGACCCGTGCCCTGGCAGTCTTACCCTAGGTCTTCCAACGACTCCAAGATGTCAGTCTCCATGAGGTCACACTCCATGCTACTGTGGTATTCAAATTTCCGAGTCGTCAGGCTCCCCTCTTCGCCGGCAACGCGTACCCTCGCGCATGCGCTCTCTCCCCGGAACTTCCAAATCGACAGCTGGCGCCTCAGCGCCTGCACTGCGCATGTCCCGAGCGTGCGCAAGAAGCGAGGTCCCGCCTACTGCCCCTCCCCTGTCTGCTAAAGGATCCCGGGCCACACAGGTTTACACATGCGTATTACTGAGGAGTGAAGCCGGCTTCCCGAAGAAGGGCAGAAGGACTGGCTGCGTGGCAGCTGGGCTTGGGCAGCGCGCGGAGCTCTCCTTAGTGCGTGTACGCATGTGCGAGTCTTGGGGCGAGGCGGGCCGGGGCGGAGCTTGCCGGGGAGTGTTACCTCTGGGCTGGAGAGGCTGTGGGCTGTGGAGCGGAGTCCCTGCGGTCAGGGCAGTGGGCAGGTGGTTCCCCGCAGGCAGCCCGCGTGTCCCAACCTTGGCTGTGGTCAAGAAGAAGGGGAACGCTCACCTATGCTCCCGTCTCATGGCCCAGGACAGAGGTAGCCAGCCCAAGTGCCCAGAAGAGAACGCGCCATTTGATTTCCTTGTGACTGGATTTCACGGCTAGGGAGGAGTTCCCCTTCCTCTGAAACGGATGTATTTTAAAAGTTACGTGGTTTTCCTCAAGCGTTCTCCGCCTGACTTCTTAGTGCTTCCCCGTCACTAAGCATCTTGAGGCGGGGAAAGGGCTTCAGTCCAGACCGAATAGAATACATTCGAATCCACGTAGTAATATCACTGCATTTTGACATCATTTGCCGATGTTAACGTTCACCTCACGGTGGGTTATGATTTCGTGGCGGTTATCCGTTGGATGTGTGCTTAAAAATGAACGACAGATGAGGGAAAAGTGTTTTCAAAGTGATGGGATTTTTAGAAAATTATTATATTTAGCCATAAGTTGGCATAGGTTATACTGTGTAGGCTTTTAATTAAAGAGTTTTCACATTGGTACCAGATTTTATTTTATGGTTCTCATTTTCCTAATGAATAAATTCTCCCTACTCTTAGTAGTATTTTTTTTTAAAGATTTAGTATTTGAAAGGCGAAGTTACAGAGCGAGAGAAAGACGTATCTTCCATCGACTGGTTCACTCACCAGATGGCTGCAATTTAGTCCCTAATTTTGCCCCTTATTTTGCATCCTCTGCTGTGAGAAAGGTTGTTAGGAGCCTAAGGTGTGCCTGGCATGGTGCTACCCCTGCAATGACATTATGGTGCAGTTATCGCAAAGCTATGTAAATGTAACTTGCATCTTACAGATGGGAACACTGGGATTTGGAGGTTTAATGATCTGCGAAAGATCTCAAGGTTGATGGGTATGAACTAGATTTTGAGACTGAGGCATGTCCAAACCCATATTACTATTTGACTAGTCAATTAAGCAGGATGTGCAAAGATAGAATGTAGCTAGTTGAAATTCCTTTGGTTTATATATTCTGTACAATCACATCATTATAATAAAAATGGAGTATTTATATGTTTCTCACAGGGTTGTTGAAAGTGCTAAACAAAAAAAGCAGTCCTTAATAAGTCAATTTTGAAAGAAAAATGTTTCACTCTTGACTCTTTGATATAAGTTGTAACAATATTAGTGAGTGAAAAAGTGATGACTTCTCTAAATTTATTAGTCTTATACAAATCATTAGCTGAAATGGAGGGTTGCTGATGTGAAGTTTTAAAATATGTATTATTATTTAAAATAATTCTATAATGGCTTTTTCTGTGATAAAGTCAAATACTACTTTTTAAAAATTGCTATTATTTCTGTAAGAGCTACTAGGAATCCTTAGTATTGTATTTAGAAATAGGATAGCTAAAGACCTCATTCAGACTGAGTTTAGCAGAGTAAAAGGAGCAATGACTGGGGAGTTATGGAGGTCTAGCATTTCCCTCAGATCAGTGTAAGATATTATTCAAACACTGAATGATCTTAAAGTTATCAGGTATCTTTTAGGGTGGGCTGCCTGTACAGAGGGTGTTCACTAAAGGTAGTGCATGGTATGGATATTAGTTTGGCTATCCCCAGAGGCCCATGTGTTAAATAAAAGCTTGATCCTTAAAGCCTTATGTTACTGATATTGAGAGGGTGAGACCTTTGGAAGTAATTAGATTGGATTAGGTTGTTAGGATGGCACCTCCATAATTGAATCATGGAGATTTTATAGGGAGAGATGTAGACATATGCCCCTCTTGCCAAATTATATTGTGTGCCACCTCACTACTCTGCCAGGAAGAAAGCCATCACCAGATGTGAACTAATGGGGCTTTCTAATCTTGAACTGTGAACCTCCAAAACCAGGAGTTAGAATAAACTTATTTCCTTCATGATAGTCTGTGTTTTTCTTTGTAGAAATGAAAAACTGACTTATATAGGCTGAATAGCTCTCTGTTGAGTATGCTGTTGTGAGAAGTTATGCCCAAAAGTGCCAGCACAGGGCATTTTACTAAGTTTTTGATTGAAGACTTTTCCCCTAAAAGAATGCAAAATACCGGTTTGAAACCTTCCTGGTGTCCAGCTCTGAGGGGAACTGGTTATTAATGTCTCTATTAGTTTCTTACTGCAGCTATAAGTATTATTTTAATGACCTTAGAGGGTTGAAACAAGATAAATTTATTTTCATAAGGTTCTGGATATCTGGATCTTCCAGGGCTGACATTAGCAGGTCTGTGTTCTTCCTGGAATCTAGTGAGAATCTATTTTCTCTTCTTTTCCTGCTTCTAGAGGCTGCCCACATTCCTTGGGCACTTTCCTTGGATTGTGGCCCTCTCTGTCACCAGAGCTGGCAATCCTACTGCTCTTGTTTCTGCATCATTATTGTCACATCCTGTCACATCCTTCTTTGATTCTTTTTTTTTTTTTTAAAGATTTATTTATTTTATTTGAAAGGCAGAGTTACAGACAAGCAGAGGCTGGGGGGGGGGAGGGTCTTCCATCTGATGGTTTACTCCCCAGACGGCTGCAATGCCGATCCAAAGCCAGGAGCCAGGAGCTTCTTCTAGGCCTGTCATGCGGGTGCAGGGGCCCAAAGACTTGGGCCATCTTCTGCTGCTTTCCCAGGCCATAGCAGAAAACTGGATGGGAAGTGGAACAGCCGGACTCGAACTGGCTTTACCCACTACGGCACAGTGCCACCTCCCTGGCTCTGATTCTTACTCTCCTGCCTCCCTCTTTCACTTATAATCACCTTTGTGACTATATTGGAACTGCCCAAATAACCCATTATATTCTGTTTAACTTAAGAGCCTTAATTTAACTACATCTGCGAAGTTCCCTTTTCATGTAACACAATATGTTCACAGGTACTAAGGGGTGAGATGTAGATAGCTTTGGGGAGGTCCTTTATTCTGCCTACCACACTGACTTTCCTGGAGAGTAGAAACAATGAATGATCTTCATTTAAAAACCAGCCTTCTCCAAGTCTTGAAAAGAATGAAGAGAAATCTTTTCTTATAGTAGTAAAAAAAAAAAAATATAGAGGGGAAAATTGGCAACTGTTTTCAGAGGGATATCTTTATTGTGATAACCTTAAAAATTATTATAAAGGAAGTTTTGAATTATGTAGTAAAATTTATGCAGCTGAGATTCTTAAGTTACTTCTAAAATCCATAGAAGAGTAATTTTTATACTAGCAATGGGATACATATAAACATAAGATATGCCATGGAATGATTTCTAAGAGTTGATTGAACAGGTATCTAAAATAAATAATTTTTCTTTCTTAAGTAAAAGAGCACTGTTTGAAAAATGGCAACATTTTCCATCTTTAATACATTTTCATTTAGAATGATCCTCCAAAAAGAAAAGACTATGAAAAACCATGAATTTGCTCTTGTTGTTCATGAAATGCAGATTTGTAAATGCTGCTAAATAAAGTCTTTTTCAGCTTGCACAATGAAAATACAACTCTTTTTTCCTGTGATACGAGCATGTAGAATTGAATTGTGAATGCTCTCAAATACTTTTGTATTACTGAAGAACAGCTACTTTTCAAATAATTCCTCTGGCTATGTTAGTATATTCTCTGAGCCAGAGAAATTTTTAGAGAATGTCACAAAGTTTGAGAACAACATCTTGCCTATGTTTACACTGAGGAGACAGCACACACACACACACACATCTGGATTGTTCCAGAATAAGAGCTCTAAACTTCATTTTTGTTGTTCTCAAACAAGGCTTTATCCTATGTCCATGCTCTGCCAGTCTGTGAATCAGGTATATGGTGAGCCAGATAGATTCTTGTCTAATTTGGGTGCAGTAAGTTTGTTAGACTTTAGCCCAGAGGTGCTAGACTTGTATCCATGTTAGGCTAAGAGTTGTATTTTGCTTGGGCTGAGTAATAACTTGAAGACTTTCAGTTAACATTAAGGAATCTGGATTTCTGGCTTTTTCTAGGGGAAAAAAATCACTAAAGGGCACTTTGCCCATGAGGCAGTGATTGGCTTGGGGTGAATAGGACACCCCTGCTAGTTTGGGCGTGAATCTGCAAATTCTGCTTCCAGTCCTATCCCTCACACGATGAATCACGTGCATGTACATCCTGTAGTATATTTGCTCCTCTGTGAGTTTGAAATTCCCAATCCCTTTTAATGTTTTACATGGTAGTCCTGTGTATCCCTGCTCCTCTCCTGTCTCTCATAGGCCTGTCATGCTTTCTCTTCTGCCTATTTTGGCTACATGGAACTTCTACTATTCACTTAGTACACCTTGCCTTTTTATCCTCTCTGATTTTGTACAGATTGTTTCCCCTTTCTGTCATTGTCTGCCTGGCAGATTTCTCCTGCTCAGTCTTTAGGACTCAGTTTGGGAGATGCTTTCTCTGATTTTCATCGGCACTTCTTCTGTACCTCCCAAAGCTTCCTTAAGCATGTTGGCATAAGAGCTCTAGGTGAGTGTACACCCCTGCTCTCTGCTCCTCTGCTGCTTTTCTCACCTTTCACTCTGTTTCAAGGTACTGCTCAGCTTTACTGCTTCACAAAGAAGACCACAAGGGTTAAAATTAAATTTCCTATCATTAGGATTTCTAAGGTAGTGGTACTTGACTGATAACTATAAGCTTCTGAGTAGGCTTAAATACAGATTCCTGGTCCCCACCTATATCAGCATTTCTCGGATTGGATTTAGGACAATGTTTCTTAAAACCATTTCATAAAGTTTCATAACTAGTCTTTAATAACATGATTTATTAGTATTTCATTATTGTGTTGTTCATATTTTATGATCCTTTCTTTCCAGGTACTTGAAGCCATCCACATCCTACATATAGCTGAGAAGATTGAGGCATATATGGTAGGCATAAAAAGTGTTCATTCATTGATTGACAAGAAAATTTTCCCTTTCCAATAGCTAGATGTTAATTTCTTCTAAATTGATGCTTTGCAGAGAATAAATAGGTATATAATAATGAATTATGTTTTAGTCTTTTGGATCATCCTGGAACTCAGTCAATGCATATTTAGAAGTTGGCAGTCCTGATAGGATGATACATTCTTTGCTTAGACTGTTATTAGCAACTTTGTCTTTTATGCTGTGCTGTGATTCTTTGTGGGGTTGGGGGTGGTTAGAATCTTCAAGGAGACTTTTCATGCTCAACACCCCTCCTGAGTCCCCACGAGAATCACAGCTTTGTGATTGGGCATGTGGGGTCAACAAACCAGGGGTAAAGCAGTGAGTCATTGTCTAAGGAGAGTTTGTAAATATGACCATTAAGATTAGATAAATTAAGTAGAGGCTGATTTTGAATGTCCTTGACAAATTTTTGCTTGCAAATCTTAGTAACAGTTTTTAAAATTAATTTCTTTACTGCCACAGTAGGATTATTGTTTGCAGTTACAACAGAGATAAGAAGAGATATATTTTAAACAGGAAACAATTATATTCAAATCCTTGTGTTGATTTGATTATATCTAGGCAAACCTTGGTTGGGTCACGTATCTGGAAAGAGAACTTGGGAGTTCATGCTAGAAAAGCACTTCTCAGCCACTTCTAAGACAGGATTACACCCTTCTGCCCTCAGTCATCCATTATAAATAATGATGAATTTCTTTTCTTTGTGTCTTTTAGAGTGCTAGCTATCTATATGGGGAGAAATGACATAAGAGTCATAGAAATAATTATCTCTAGGACTCAGTCTCTCCTGTGATTGAGAAAACTGAAATTACCTAGAGCCCAGGAGTTCCCTCCCTTTCTTTCTTTCTTTCTTCTTTTTTTTTTTTTTTTTAGGTTTCAATACTTTATTCAAGTTTTATTTTAAGTGATGTTAATTACAACATTTGAAGGGGAGGATCTAATTCCACACAAAATGGAAGACTCTAAAATGTACCCATTATACTGCTAAAAAATAAATTGAGTGATGAGAATACACAGAATTCCAATTTAGATTTCACATGTTGTCATCACAGGATCACACGTGTAGCCAGAGGAATTGGAAGTGATTTCATGTTCAGAGCAACACAGGAAGGAATTGAATCCTGAATTAAAAATATGGAACACTTCGCGAATTTGCATGTCATCCTTGTGCAGGAGTAGTGCTAATCTTCTCTGTATTGTTACAATTTTTTTTCTTTCTCTCTTTCTCTCTCTTTCTCTCTCTTTCTGTCTCTTTCTCTCTCTTTCTCTCTCTTTCTCTCTTTCTCTCTCTTTCTCTTTCTCTCTCTCTCTCTCTCTTTCTCTCTCTCTCTCTCTCTCTCTCTCTTTCTCTCTTTCTCTCTTTCTCTCTTTCTCTCTTTCTTTCGACAGGCAGAGTGGACAGTGAGAGAGAGAGACAGAGAGAAAGGTCTTCCTTTGCCATTGGTTCACCCTCAAATGGCCGCCGCTGCTGGTGCGCTGCGGCCGGCGTACCGCGCTGATCTGATGGCAGGAGCCAGGTACTTATCCTGGTCTCCCATGGGGTGCAGGGCCCAAGCACTTGGGCCATCCTCCACTGCACTCCCTGGCCACAACAGAGAGCTGGCCTGGAAGAGGGGCAACCGGGACAGAATCCGGCGCCCCGACCGGTGCTAGAACCTGGTGTGCCGGCACCGCAAGGCGGAGGATTAGCCTATTGAGCCACGGCGCTGGCCCCCAATTTTCTTTTAAAGTTTTATTTTATTTATTTGAAGGAGTTACAGAGAGAGGTAGAGACAGAGAGAGAGAGAGATCTTCCATCCGCTGGTTCACTCCCCAAATGGCCGCAACGGCTGGAGCTGCACTGATCCGAGGCCAGGAGCCAGGAGCTTCTTCCGGGTATCCCAAGTGGGTGCAGGGGCCCAAGGACTTGGGCCATCTTCTACTGCTATCCCAGGCCATAGCAGAGAGCTGGATCGGAAGTGGAGCAGCTGGGACTAGAACTGGCTCCCATATGTGATACTGGCACTTCAGGCCAGGGCTTTAACCTGCTGCACCACAGTGCCTGCCCTTGTTCCAATTTTAGTATATGTGCTGCTGAAACAAGCACAAACCCAGTAGTTTTCAAACTTCTGTGTGCAACAGAGTTAACTGAAGACTTTTTAAAACACAGATTGCCAGCCACTTTCTGCCAGAGGTTCTGATTTAGTAATTCTAGGATGAGGTCCAGTAGTTTGCATTTCATTTTTTTTAAAGATTTGTTTATTTATTTTTGAAAGAGTTATATACAGAGAGGAGGAAAAACAAAGGGAGAGAGAGATTGTACCCATTGGTTCTCTCCCCAGACAGCCGCAACAGCCAGCACTGCAGCTGCTTTTCCCAGGCCATTAGCAGGGACCTGGATAGGAAGTGGAGCAGCTGGAACACACCACAACACTTGCCCCCAGTGATTTGCTTTTCTAATGAGTCCTAGCTCCCAGGTAATAGCTGATACTGCTGGACCAGGTACTGTATCTTTATTTGAAAATGACTCGTCTTGGGGCCTGTGTTTTGGCATGGTGGGTTAAGCTGCTTATGCAGGTATCCCATATGGGTGCTGGTTTGAGTTCTAGCTGTTCCATTTTTGTTCTGCTCCCTGCTGGTGTGCCTGGGAAAGCAGCAAAAGATGGCCCAAGTCCTTAGGCCATTGCACCCATGTGGTAGACCCAGAAGCTCCTTGCTCCTGGCTTTGGCCTTGCCCAGCCCTGGCTGTTGCGACCTCTTGGGAAGGGAACCAGGATGGAAGATCTCTATCTGTGTTTCCCTCTCACTCTGTAACTCTGCCTTTCAAATAAATAAAATAAATCCTTAAATAAAAAAAGACCTACTCTTTTTTTTTTAAGATTTTATTTGTTAATTTGAGAGGTAGAGTCACAGAGAAAGAGAGAGGGAGGGACAGAAAGGTCTTCCATCCACTGGTTCACTCTCCAAATGGCCATAATGGCTGGAGCTGGGCTGATCCTAAGCCAGGAGTCAGGAGCTTCTTCCAGGTCTCCCATGTGGATACAGGGGCCCAAGGACTTGGGCCATCTTTCCACTTGCTTTCCCAGGCCATAAGTAGAGAATTGATTGGAAGAGGAGCTGGGATATGAACTGGCACCCATATGGTATGTTGGCACCATAGTGGAGGCTTAGCCTACTATGCCACAGCGCTGGCCAATTGACCTACTCTTAGTTTGTTTGAAACTCACATCAGTCATTAAGAAACTGATTTTATACCATGACCTAGGATACTCAGGCACATGCATACACAGAGCTGAAATAGTTTTATAAAGCAATGAAAACCCTTGCTATGTGCTGTGCACTAAGATTTTTTTTGCATAGTTTATTCCATTTATTAAAAATTGTTGGAGCCGGTGCCGCGGCTCACTAGGCTAATCCTCCACCTTGTGGTGCCGGCACACCGGGTTCTAGTCCCGGTCGGGGCGCCAGATTCTGTCCCGGTTGCCCCTCTTCCAGGCCAGCTCTCTGCTGTGGCCAGGGAGTGCCGTGGAGGATGGCCCAAGTGCTTGGGCCCTGCACCCCATGGGAGACCAGGATAAGTACCTGGCTTCTGCCATCAGATCAGTGCGGTGCGGTGGCCATTGGAGGGTGAACCAATGGCAAAGGAAGACCTTTCTCTCTGTCTCTCTCTCTCACTGTCCACTCTGCCTGTCAAAAAAAAAAAAAAATTGTTGGTTGGGACCCACTAAAGTAACTACTAGCTTGCTAGTGAATTGTGAGCAGTGGTGTGAAAAATAAGGGAGCAAGCAGTCTGAAAGCTTCTTTAGCCTTAGCATTTTACCCTGTGATTGAACCACCCTCATATAACAGATAAGATTCAATCAGGAAATCAGAAGAGATGACCACCCTCTAACAATTCAGATACATTGCAGAGACCAGTGCCCATTTGGGGATCCAATGAGCAAATACCTGATGCTGAAGGCTCACTTGAGCATTCTTCAGCAGTGAAAAAATGGTTGCTAGGTGCACAATCTGATTGGGTAAAGAACTTACCCTAAGCAGAAAGCATGACTGTACACTCAATCTGACACATTGACTTAGCTTTATCTAAGGGGAATGGTTCTGGGCATACTATAGGGCAATGACAATTAAATAGGTTTCTGGCCTGGCGCAAAGGACAATTGGGCTTAATTCCTAGATAGGAAAAGTAAGGATAAAGAATTATGAGGAAGATACTATAAAACTATAGAGGTATGGCAGATATTTAGACTGTAAGAAAGTCTGTTTAGTTGCCTAAAGACCTGGAAGAGGGATGAAAATGGCTGGAGAGAAAAAGCATTTTGTTTGTTTCTTTTCTCTCTCTTTTTAATGAGATCGATCGATCGATCTGTCTGAAAAGCAGAGTGTCTGAGATGGAGAGAAAGGGAGAAGGGTGGGAGGGAGGGAGGTATATCAATTTTCTGCCTGCTAGTTCACTTCCCAAATGGCACACCAGCCAGGGCTATGTCAGGCCAAGGCCTAGAAGACTGGATTGAGTTTCTGGCTCCTAGCTTCAGCCTGGCCTATCCTTAACTGTTGCAGGTATTTGAGGAGTGAACCAGGAGATTCATTCTCTCTCTTCTCCCATCCTTTCAACTACATAAAATAAATAAAAATTATTAAAAAAAAGATTCTTCTGGGTCATTTTTTCATTCTTCTGGGAGATGGGATGGTTGCAGCTAGGAGGGAAGTTATGGGGGGAAACTGCTATAATCCAACAATTGTACTTTCGAAATTTATATTTATTAAATAAAAGTTAAAAATAAATAAATAAATAAAATAAACCTAAAAAAAGTTTGTGGAACATCATGGTGATATTGACATCTCTTGTCTGTGATGATTGAGTAATATTGGGGAATGAAGAGTACCCCCTGGGATGAACTTTCTGTGACTGAATAGGGAGTGGTGCCTTTCAAAAAAGATGAAATTTATGTTGCAGGATC